ATTTCTATCCATTGACAATAAAGGGAGCTTGGAATAACTGATTAGGTCAACTGTAAATATCTATACTATAGGTTAGTATAGATAGTACAGTATAGTTAGTGTCTCACCCAAAGTTAGGTGAGACAGATTCCATCTAAGATAGTGTTTGGAATTATGTGGCTTGTGAAAATAGGAATTCTCTGGACTTTTCCAAGCCTCTTGCTTAGTTTTCTGTAATTGCAGGATGATTCATTCTAGATAAGAGAATCTTCAATCAGAGGCCATGGCAAATTACATCCAAGAGCAATTTTGCTGAAAAAATCTCTTATTCTATCCCCTGGGACAGAAGGAGTGTTGCCTGTTTTAGTGGAAGATCTTGATTTAGAGGTGCTGAAGACAAAACGCATGAATAAAGAATACTGTCAGAGTGGCAAGATTACTTTTTATATTGAAGGCAAAAGGATTCTGCACTTTGTATTCCAGGCTTCTGATTAGACTTGTTAGTATGAAGTTTGAAAAGGACTCTGATTTTTGACTCTTTGATTTTATTAGCCAGGGCTGCTCTCTGATTGGAAATGCAAGATGTCCAGGTATGGCTTGTCTGCTCATCAGGCAGAAATTTGCATGAGTCCTTAGAGAATCTTAATGTGACGAGAAAGATTCAGAAGCTGTTTTCCAAAATGGTGCTGTCCCTGGCTTGTCTTTGATGACACCATCAGACACCTCCACTGTCTTTTCCACTATCAGCTTTAGAAATTAGTTGTCATTTTTGTAAATGTAAATACAGTCATACCCCTGCATGCAGGAAGATGAGACTGCAGCCCAAGGTCTTACCATCTCTAGGGGAGGTGGAAAGATATTGAGTTCTTTCCCCCCCCGTTGCGACTTCATTTTTACTTTACTTTCCTGTTAGAAGATATCACTGGGTCCATTGTCTACCTGCTTACTCTTTCTGTACTGCCAGGACAGAAGCTGTGCAAATACTTCATTACAGAGTGAAAATCACATGCAGTTTCCTGGCTTTCTTTATATAACTGAAAATCAAGCCCAGATTAGTCCAAAGGAATGATTTTCCCTCCTCAGTAAGGATTTAGACTGGAAGTCGTGTGGACCCCAACAGTACACATTCTGAAACAAACAGAACTTGTTCCTTTCACTCGGCTCAAAATTAAAAGAGAAATTTGTGGAATGCCTCTGTTTAGGAATGAAGAATAAATCAAAATTACAGTCTAACTTACTGGAAACTGAATCCACTGCGTGTTAGAAAGCTCTGATAGTCCTGCTTCTTCCTTTGAACTGCTTGCAGTTTTATGTTTTCACTAATAAACATATAAACAGCAGAACAGAAATATTTCATTTAGAATTTTCAATGTAAGTACATTTCCATGTACTTCACTTCCTAATTTTTCATCTCACTTCTATTCTCTCTCTGTTGTGACAGTAACAGCAGTAGCATTAATACGTAATTAGATGGGTAGGAATGGGCCCTGAGTCAATAGATCATAATAGCTCCTTTGGAGCCATAGTAAAGTATCTCCTATAGTAAATACATGGTTATGGACTTGTTAACAGACATCAGTTACTCAGTAGTCCATTATGGCTCCTTATAGTCTACCCTTTGAGTAGATCTATATTTAGAGTCATATTGATCAGTAATTAAGAGATAGCATGGTGGCAAAATGGAAATATATCATAAACAATCTGAAAGAAGTAATTTATAGAAACTTTAAGAACATCAGGAACTGGCAAATGTCTTTTGCACTATTTTTGCTTTCATGTAGAAACCAATAATCTTAATAAAATTATAAGTGATATTAATATATCTCCTTGTGTAGGCTAAGACACTTACTTCATCCAGAATTAATTTTTAAAACAGAGCTATTAAACCGAGGAAGAAATAAGGCAAATCACCACTGTCTATATAGGCTTCAGCTACTTATTGTAAAGATGAACTTTATCAGGGTGACAGCAAGCACAGGTAAAAGGAATGCAACCACTTTTAATTTGAGCTGTCTGGAGCTTTCCTACTTCTTATTAGCGTATAACACCATACAGGTGAGTTTATCCAGTTTTCTATTTACCACTGAATTCTACTCATTGAAATACAATTTTAAAGATCAATTAATTACAAACCATTAAAAGTCTCCATTAGAAAATGCCTGGAAAAGATGTTCAGGTACAATAATCTTTTAGGCTCCACAGTAGTACTAATCCCTTATGATTTTCACATGGTACTCAAGATATTGGGACATGATTAAATGTAAATCCAGAATGAACAGAAATTCCTCACTCGGCTTACATTTAACTCCACAAGGAGACTGCAATATGATTACTTGTGTTGTGTCTAATGGAATTGTTTAATTTATAACAACTCTTGCAAATGTAAAGATTTAGTTACCATGCTTGTACTCACTGAGTGAAAGAAGGATATTCTGCTGTGAGTCTATTCTTCTAATTGTTGCAATCTCTGTATTAACATTAATTAGCAAATTCATCTTTCAGTCTCTCCCACATGGGACACATTCAGTCAGGGTTGGGTCGGTAGGGAATTTAATTAATTTATCAGCAAATTGGATTTTTCATTAAGTGTCCTTGCTTTGTTTTTTTTTTTTTTTGAAATTTTGGGGTGGTTTAGAAAATTATAGGGTTTTATTCATCTCCAGTTCTTTAATGCAGAGGTGGTTAATGGGATGATATTGAGCAGAAATACTTTGTTTGAAAAGGTTATCAAAAAAGAAGCTCTGTCTCATTGGTCATCTGTAAGAAGGCACTTCTGCTAGCTGGAACTTTTTCTTGAGTAGACTCGTGTTCTAGTGGGAATACTACTTTACAGTAGACCTGCCAATAGTTGGATGTAGAAATGCCTGATATTTATGGCTTAAGTACAAAGGGTATCAGTGTGTGAGAATTCAATTCAACGAAGCTAATCTCAAATGCAATTAATGTTCACATTCTTTATGTGCCCCTATGGTAGTCTGTTTGCCCAAGGAATATATTGGAAGTGATACATTTAATTAAACTTCTTGAAACACTTGGGCAATGATATCATTTAGGCGATAAGGCATCACTTATGGAAAGTGGAAAGAGGAATAACATGATCGTTAGATTTATTCTGCACTGCTTTACAGTTAATGGAGGTCATGTGCAACCCTGTGGAGAGTGCATGTCAAATGCTGCTCAGAAAGGGAAGTTTCCTCACATTCTATTAAGTTGCTAAATAAAAGTCAGAAATGTTTTGATCTTGTATCAATTTTGACCTAGCCTCAGTTATGTAGTTGCTGTGTGTACTGTGCAAACAGAGGCAAATGAGCAAGAAAATACATTAAACTGTTCATGGGATAGAAATGGCATTTGCTATATTTCATTGGGGATTATTACTTTGCTAATAGAAATCATTTTTCTGCCTATTTAGCATCCACTCTTTACAACTTGTTAACCATGTATTGTAACTTTTTAATTAAAGAGATATCTTCTTCCCTGCTGCCAGGGCATGTTCCATTTGGTGTTAAAATGCATACTATTACAGAAAAGATAACCTAAATTCTCAAAGAAACTTTATTTTTACATTTTTCTTATGCTTTTTGATACAGCTAAACTCTGCTATCCTTGTGCTGTGTTGATTCCTCTCAAGACTGATTTTCTAAGACAAACTATACAATGAGGGAAATGATCGTTAGTGTTTATCTTTAACAGCACTGTTTTCACAGTGTTCTCCAAAAAGTTCAGCAACAGAAGTGTTATCAGTGCAGAGCTGGCTTGGTAACTGAGTATAAATTTCCCTCCTGTGCTCTGTAGGTAACTGGGAATTCGGGAAGGTAGTTGATGAGAGTTTAAATCCCTGTAGCCTGGATTTTGCCTCCCAATGTTTAATAGTAACTCATTGCAGGAGAAAGTGAAGGTCGAAATATACTTGTAGACAGGTCTCAGTACAGCAAGAAAGGAGATGGGAGATTGGTTTAATTGTTTGCATGGACTTTATAGCTTCTGAATTATTTCAGATAAATGTAAAAGCTTCTACAACCACCCAGCTATGGACTCTGGGAGGTATTGGGTGAAATAACTAAGAAAGTTTGCTCTATTCAGAGCCTACAAACCCTAATATCAACTCAATTCACGTATCAAGGTTGTCTTTACAACCAATAGTGATCCTGAAGTAACTTTAAAAAAAAAGTCCAAAACAGGAATGATGAGATTCCTGAGCACAATTCCAAGACTGGCAGTAAACTCCGCAAGGCTGCCAATACGCCCAGGCACATTTGTTCTTTCAGAGAAGGACAACATAAGAATTGTGACATGCTGGTTATATTTTTGTTATAGTAGCATACAGAGTAGACTATGTGCTTTTCAAAGACAGATAAAGATACAGTCCCAAAATACTAACCATTAGATGTACTCACGTCAGCAAGAATCATGAAAAAGCTTTGTCTCCTGAGTAAACTTAATTATCTCCACCATTTGTTTTATATATGTGTATGTATCTTGTTCAAAGAAATATAGCAAACATTAGACATATTTAATGGAAAAAACCTGCATATATTTCGTATCAGGAAAAATGAAGTAAATAGTGACAGATTTTTGCTAGGGTGTTCTAAAGTCAACTTTTATAATAAGCATGGGAATCTTTTCACATAGCAACAGGGATGAACAAACAATACCTAAGTAGGGCTGAGCATGTGGTGCTTTCATGTCTCCTCAAATCTATCCGGGCTCAGCTGGAGGATGAGCTGGATGCATCTTGAATAATATGAATGCTTTCTCTTCTTTTGCTGCTGTACCTACACTGTTTCCATGTTACAGAATACCACGGAGAGCTTGTTTGTGTTTTAGAAATGCCATATATTGGCTGAGTTTAAACACAGATT